CCGCGGTCCCTGTGCTTTGCCAAGCTTGTTTCAAGTAGGTGCTTTAGACCACTGAGCCATCTCTCCAGCCCCTAAATATTTATTTTTTTGATGTTTGTCTTAATTTCATTTTCTGATTATTCATTATTAATGAAAATGCAATTGATTTTTGCATTGATTTTGTATCCTGCAACTTTGCTAAATTTGTTTTTTTCTCCTATAGACTCTTTGGAGTTTTCTACATATAAAATGATAACTTCAACTAGAGATAGCTTTATTCTCTCTTTCTTTATTCTTTCTTTCTTTCTTCTTTCCTGTACCAGGGATTGAACTCAGGACCTTGCACTTGCCAGGCAAGCACTTATTCTACTGAGCTATCTCCCTGGCCCTATTCTTTTCATTCTAATTTGGACATATTTTTTTCTTCCTGCCTAATTGCTCTGGCCAGTTCAATGTTGAATAGAAACACGTTATGTTCTATTAAGGGTATATAATTTTACGACATGATTATTTAGTATTCTTGCCTCTTTTTTGTGTGTGCCTGTTTGCTCTTCTTTGCTTTTGATCTTAGGAAGAAAACTTTTGGTTTCTCTCTATTAAGCATGTTATTAGCTTTGGGCCTTTCGTAAAGATTCTTTTTTTTTTTTCTTTTTCAGACAGGGTCTCCACTATGCTGCTCAGGCTGGCCTTGAGCTCACTTTGTAACCCAGGCCCATTTTGAAATTGCAATGATCCTCTTGTGGCAAATTCCTGAGTGCTGGGATTACAGGTGTGCACCACTATGTCCAGCTTCTCACATTTTCTATTGTTAGTAACTAGAAAGTTTTGTTTGCTTATAGGACATTGTAACTGTCCTTCTTTCTCCAAGAACTTCCTCAAACTATGTGGTTCTAGTGGCAGCCATCTGTCATGGTGTGTCATCTCCAGGAGAGTAACTGAGCTGGATTGTCACATGACAAAAGTCAAGCCAGTCTGAATGCTTCCCTTTTCACAATTGATCTAGGGAAAAGATCTTCTTTTTTCCCTGACACAGAGCTCTGAGGATGTGTATTAGGAAAGCAAATGACCCTGTCACACCCTGTTGAGAGAAGGAATGTAACCTGAAGAGAACTGAGAATAAAAGGAAGCAGCAGCTACCTGAAAGATGATTAATTAAAAGATTAATTTTCATCATCTCTAAGCCATGTGGTTTCCACATGTGAGCCTGTAAACTTTCCTTTGTTTAAGCTCACATGAACTGGGTCCATAAATATTCTTTATCATTTGAAGATGGTCCTTTCTATTCCTAATTTTCATTGAGTGCTATTATCATGCAAGAGTGTTGGATTTTGTCAAATGCCTTTTCTGTATAAGTTGAGATGATCATGTCTTTTCTCTTCCTACATGCTGTTAGTGTGATGTATTACATTGATGGATTTTTGGATGTTGAACCATCCTTGCATTCTCAAAACACATTCCACTTGGCTGTGGTGTATAATCCTTTTAATAGGTTGCTAGATTTGACTTGCCAGTAGTTTTTGAGGATTTTTACATCTGTATTCATAAGAGGTATTGATCTGTAGCTTTTTTGTGATTTTTTTTTTTTTACATATTTGGTATAGGGTCTGTAGGGTCTATAGGGTATCACTACATAGATAAGGCAGTGTTTCTCCTGTTTTCAGCCTCCCAAGAGCTAGGATTACAGGCATGTGCCACCATGACAAATCTCAATCACCGGCTCAGCACACCTTGGGGGGCAGGGCTGGCATGGCATGCCAGGGATTGAACTCCAGCTCTGTGCTCTGACTAAGCAGGCACTTTAGTCTGCTGAGCTATTCAGCTGGCCCTTTTTAAAAAATTATTTTTTTAAAAATTTTTTAGTGATATTTTTGTCTGACATCGGTATTAATGTAATGCTAGCCTTAGGTAGGAACTGTTACCTCTTCAGTTTTCTGGGAAGAGTTTGAAAGGATTGATCTTATTTTCTTTTAAATGTTTTTTAAACATTTAAAATGACATCTGGGGCCAGGGAGACAGCTCAGTAGAATAAGTGCCTTTTGGACTTATCTGTTCTATGTTTCATTTCTCTCTCCTTTCTTGCCTACTTTTGGATTAAGTATTTTTAGAATTCTGTTCCATGTCTGGTAGCTAGTTAGCTCTGAATTCTTTCAGAATTCTCTCTATGGCTTGCAATATGCATCAGTGACTTACAAAAGGATTTTTATTACTTCCTGGTATTTTAATTCCATATACTGCTTATATACATCTTTATGTGTGTATAACTTATGTATTATTGTCATTATGCTTTTTGGTATTGTATCTGTGAATATCTTTTTTTTTTTTTTTTTTGGTGAAACCAGGGATCGAACTCAGGCCCTTGCGCTTGCCAGGGAAGCACTGACTCCACTGAGCCATCTCCCCAGCCCCTGTATCTGTGAATATCTATTCCCCAGGAAACTTGACCACTGCTCTACACAATCAGTATTTGGCTATCCACTCCATCTGGTTGTTCATGCTTTCAGCTGGAATAATTTTCCCTCTGCCTGAAGAGCTCTCTTCAGTATTTCCTTTCTTCAGTTTTTTGTGAAGTATGACTGTGGTGTTTCCCAGGGCCCCTCGTTCTCCAGTTCTGTAAGATCACCCACCCGTGGCTCATCCTTGCAGCCACCCTTGAGGCTCGCGAGCCCTTCAGGAGCAAAGCTGCTCTGCATTGCTCTCCGCATTCTCTCCTTGGCAGGATCTTTAGTCTTGGAGTCCTCACTGCTCTTGGATTTCTCAGATGTTTTATTAATATATCAACTCACACTTTTTCCTATTGGGAAGGTTCCTCTGCTGCAAGATAATTCGTCACTATTAGGACTGGAAATCTTGTCAGTTGTTTTCCTAATTTTGTAATCTTGACTAATGGCTGAGGAATGGTAAGAGTATGTCTAACTCAAAGATATTATCAGTGTTGTCCTTGTATTCTTCTATTACAGATGTACATCTATGTGGCTCTATGCTACAGATAGACACAGAATTATGTACATGTAAAAAATGTGTGTACTGTATTTATGCCAAACAAATGCCTATCTAGGCACTGAGAGGATTTTCCCCTTTGTTCCGTTGGAGAAAGTGTAGCAAATTCTTGCTTATAAGCATATAAAGCCTTTTTATTTTGCTACTGGGAATTGAACTCAGGACCTTGTGCTTGCCAGGAAGGCCCTGTGCCACTAAGCATATAAAGACTTGCATTTTTATTTTTCAAATTATTACTGTGGTATATGAATATTTCACATGTTAATAAATTCTCTTTGTTAAAATGCTGCCAACATCAATAAATTTCGGTGAATGTATTTTGAATCCCCAGAGAACTCTGCCACACACAAGCATGTTAAAGACTCTAAAACATGGAAATAAAACTTATTTAACTATGATATATATTTTTTTGCAAAAATACCTACTCTCATCTTATGGGGTAGTAGCACTCTGTAGGTAAACCTGGAGAAACATTCCTTTTAATGAACCCCAATCCACAAAAACCTCACAAATCTGGAGCACTGCCCAGTGCATCCTCCAGTGTGTATTCTCTAAGGAGAGTCAGAAAGTGTGAGCAGCAGGTGTGAGCTTGGAGGGCTCAAGCCCTTCTACTACTCAGTAGCTAAAGCAAAGGCAGAACTTGGGGGTACATTCTCAGTCTTTGTGCTCCAGGAGTGAAGCTATCTTCTTGATTCTCTTTCTATCAGCCGGGGTCAGCATGGGGCACCTATTTGTGTTGGTGGAAATTGACTTTTGAACTTTTGTAAGACCAAAGTCTCCCTTACTTCACCTAGCTTTTGGAGGTCTTGCTGCTCCTCTGTGAAGCAGGAGGGTAAGGTGGTTGTGATGGAATACACAGAGCTTCTACTCAGAGGCCAAGAGGCCTGGGTTCAAGTCCTGGTGCTGATTGACCTTGGGAGAGTTCAGCATGGGGGAGCGGCGAGAGCGCAGGCTTTGATGTCACATGCACTTCACTGCCTTGCTTTGTGATCATGGCACGCCCTTTTCCCCTCCTGCCCCTCCGCTCCCTGACTGTGGTGAGAAGGAAATATAATGAACGTCAAGTACAGATCTGGGACATAATGGGCACCTGGCAAATGCCAGTTGTCATCCTTCGTCCACACCTGACTCCTTCATCGGAGTTTGAAGAGAACCCCAGGCTTTCATGGTGCTTGAAGAGAACCTTGAAAGTGAAGAAAGTTTTGGAAACTCTTGGAGACAAAGGAAAATCCAGGGAGTTTTATTTTCATTATTGCCCTTGACACTGCTCTGTCCCTTCTGGTGGGGCAAGGCTGGCTGTGGGAACCACACCAGCTCCCTTCCCCACTCTCAGGTGAAACCATTTCTCCATAACAGAACATTGGCAAGAAGATGTCCTGCCAGCAGTTCATTGCCAACCTGGACCAGCTGAATGATGGCCAAGACTTTGCCAAAGACCTCTTGAAGGTATGACCTGCTAAGGGTGCTTGCATCCATAGGTGGGCACTGGGTGGGTGGTGAGAAGTCTCTGACCCTCTAAATCCTGATATTCCAGACCCTTAATAGCAGGGGCAGGGCCACCAGGACTTTGGGACAAAATTAGAGGCCATCCATCTAAATTGTTTTGTGTTCTCTGAGTTAGGCTTTGTGAGATTTCTTTTGAATGCTGCAGTTATTACCATTACTGATGCAGTAGTCCTCACTATCACCAATAGTCACAGCTGCCACCCATCACCACCTCCTTTATCACTACAGTACCTTCACCACAACCAGCAGCATAGTGGGGAAAAGCCTCCTCATTCCTACAACACCACCAAGAATTAAAAAAATCTGTTTTTTTTTTTTTTTTTTTCTGAAGTCTGGTGTGGATCTTTGGCCTTTCCAGGCTAGTAAGTTCTCCACCTCAGAGGAAGAGAAATTGTTTGTTTGTTTGTTTTGAGGCAGATGAGTTCATATTTATTTATTTATTTATTTATTTTTTTTTGTACCAGGGATCAAACTTAGGACCTTGCACTTAGCAGGCAGGTGCTTATGCTGCTGAGCTATACCCAACTCCCCTGCCCATAGTTTATTTTTAGATAGTGGATTTTGATAACTTTGCAGTATCATGAGGATAGTTGAATAGTGAGTCTGGAGGTAATATGCACAATTATTTTGTTAATTAAAAAATAAAACTTAAAAAGAATGTTGTTGGGGCTGGTGAGATGGCTCAGTGGTTTAAAGCACCTACTTAGAACAAGCTTAGCAAAGCACAGGGACTGCGGTTCAATCCCCCAGCACCACATGCCAGCCAGCCCCGCCCCCTGGTGGGCTGAGCTGGCCACACACACACACAAACACACACACAAATAAATAAATAAAATTAAAAAAAAGAATGTTGTTTCCATAACTATCTTCTTTGGCATGAGAAAGCACTTAAAATATTCATGAAATCGGAATTTACCTAACCACTTTTCCCATCTACTCATCAATTTTCCCTCTTATGTATCCATCTGCCCAGCCACTCAGTCACACCTTCCTGCATACCCACTCTTTCACTCACCACCCATATCTTCAGTACCAAACACTGTGCCACACACCAACCACTCACTGTACCTTTACCTATCCATTTCTTCACACATCTATGTACTCATCCAGCTTCCCGTCCCATCCCATCCCATCCATCCATCCATCCATCCATCCATCCATCCATCCATCCATCCTGTTGAACATTTGCTACACATTGAGTTTTAACTTATGCACCAGAGATTCAGCAGTGAACACAATAGGCAACTCCTGACCTTGTGAAGCTTACTGTATCCTGGAGGGTCAGACATGCATGATCAAATACCATCCATCCATCCATCCATCCATCCATCCATCCATCCATCCATCCATCCATCCACTTACTTATCTATCCAACAAATATGAGTCAAATGTTTACTTTGCCTGTTAGCTGAAAGGGTGCTCCCTCACTGCACTCACATTGTTGGAGTATATGAAGATTGTTTTGACTCTTTACTTGAACTCTTTTCTTCCAGACCCTTTATAATTCCATCAAGAATGAAAAACTGGAATGGGCTATGTGAGTAGTGACACTGGGCACAGGTATGGGGAGACTAAACCTGGAGTGGGAGTAGCTGGGGGTGTCGATTGGCCCTGCTGACCACTCTCCATGGTGCTGATCGCTTCCAATCCAGGTCCCTGACAACTCCTGTATAGCTGGCCAACATATATGGAGTTCCTTTCAGGTCCATTTTTTTTTTTAAATCTGGTACTGGGAATCAAATTCAGGAACTTGTGCTTGCTAGGCAGGCGCTTATGCTGCTGAGCTATATCCTCAGCTTCAGGTCCATTTTTTAAAAAATGTAGTTAGCACAGGGTCTATAGGGTCTCACTACACAGATTGGATCCTTAGTGATCCTCTTGATTTCAGCCTCCCAAGCACTGGGATTACAGGTGCACACCACCACATCAAGTCTCAATTGCCATCTCATTGTGCCCCAGGGATGGGGCCAGGTCCATTCTTGATAAACAGTGTGTACTGTTTTCATTGCTATAAAGTAGACTGAACTGTGGATTTAGTTCTATGGTATCCACAGTTGTTGTTTTTCTGTACTGAGGATAATGCCAAATTTCCAATGGAGAAAGCTCTTTCCCCCTTGGGAGGTAGGCAAGCAGGAGGCACAGTTTCCCCACAGCCCTCAGAATGTGACTGTGTTTAGTAGATAACTGGTCTTGGCAGTGGGAAGAGTAACTGTCACTTAACTTTCCCTATGTGGTCATTGAGGTGTGGAGGTGCTCAGGCATCTGGAGAGAGGGGTGGTGACCATGCTGGTCAGAGAAGCTGTAAGGCACTCTAAACAGAATGCCTCCCTACTCTGTTCCTCAAGCCAGCCTGTGGCTTTGGATCTATGTAGAGGCTTATGGACCTCCACTCCTTTGGAAGGGCTAGAATTTTCTACCAGGGATCCCATGGTGAGCCCAGACCTTATAGGCTTCGCCTAGCAACCTGCCCTCTGCCAGTATGTTGTGGTTTGTGCTGCACCTTTAGTCTGCCCAGGGGTTAATGTCAGTGCCCACCCACATTGACTTGTAGAGAGTGGTTAATGGGAGAGGACGTAGTGATGTTGAGGATGAGGCCTCCCTGGAGGTATTGCTCATGCTTGTTACTTTTCCAGTGATGAGGATGAGCTGAGGAAATCCCTGTCTGAGCTGGTGGATGACAAGTTTGGGACAGGCACAAAGAAGGTGACACGGATTCTGGATGGTGGCAACCCTTTCCTGGATGTCCCTCAAGCTCTCAGTGCCACTACCTACAAGCATGGCGTGCTGACTCGGAAGACTCATGCCGACATGGATGGCAAGAGGAGTGGGTGTCAGGCTGGGAAGAGGGGTGCGGGGAGGGATGTTGGCTCAGGTACCCACCCCTCGGCACATACAGGTGGACATGCAGGGAGGCAGGGTAGGAGACACTGGAGTGGGTGTTTGTGGCTGCACTACCTGTGCCCCCCTCCCCAGCACCCCGTGGGAGGCGTGGCTGGAAGAAATTCTACGCGGTGCTCAAAGGGACCATCCTGTATCTGCAGAAGGTGAGACTGCCTCAGAGTCCTTCCTAGGCTGAATCAGCCCAGTCCCATTGAATCTTTGGCTTATGGTACTCAGGGACTCTTGGGCAGGGCCTGGAGCTTGGGGAGGGGTCTGGGTCCTTTCTCCATCAGGGCCCTGACTCAGACTCACTCCAGTCAGGCCTTTGAGGGTTCTGGGAGGGATCTTTGAAATGTCCAGTGAGTCTGTGGATACTTAGTGTCAGGCCTCTAGGGCAGATGATACAGGAGAAGGGTACCTAGAGTGCTTCTCATTGTGGAGGAGGGAGATGGAAGGACTTAGGGGAGAGAGTGAGAGAGCAGAACATGTGGGGCAGTAAGCTTGGGCCTGGCAGTGATAGAGGCCCTGCTCCTCAGGATGAGTACAGGCCTGACAAGGCTTTGTCAGAGGGTGACCTCAAGAATGCCATTCGCGTGCATCATTCTCTGGCCACCCGGGCCTCTGACTACAGCAAGAAGTCCAACGTGCTCAAACTGAAGACTGCTGATTGGAGAGTCTTCCTCTTCCAGGCCCCGTGAGTAGGATCCTGCACCCTTTGTTCCTCCTAGACTCAGTCCCTGCAGCATGGCCCCTACGTGCAGTCCTCTGCCAGCAGTCAGGGTCTGTACCTCAGATTTCCATGCACAGCAGCCACAGAGCCAGTGTGTCCACTTGACATGGGCCAGCTGCTGCTTTGGGCCCTGAAAAGTGTGGGCTCTCAGCTTGCAGTGGAGACTGATTAGCAATGCAATCTTGCTGGCCCTACCCTTGACCTACCAAATCCAAAACTTCAGGATGGAGCTCACAGCTGTGCAGTCACCAACTCTGTCAGGGCTGCCCACACATGCCAGCACCCCTGAGGGATGGGGGCAGTGGACTCTTCACAAATCATCCTTGACTTTAAGTCTATGGATCGGTAGGAAGATTCTGCCTAGAGTTGACCTGTAATGCTTGCCTTACTCTGCTATGCTTCACACTTCTGTGACTTGAAATTGGGTTTTCATGTGTCAGATGAGTTTAAACAGAGGGAGGTGGGTAGATGAGGCTGGGGATCAGAAGATGAGGGCTGGGCAGGCAACAGGGGTAGGACAGGAGGGCTGTTGTGGACTGCTTCCTGCCCACTGCTCTCGGTCATCCTCTGAGCTCACAGGCTCCAGGGCTGTCTGCTCTGGCTAGGTCCATCCAGGAACTTGTTCCACCATCCAGCCCTTATTTCCTCATCTGAGTCAGAGTGCCCTTTCTGTGCCAGGCCTAATGCTGGGAATTGGGTAATGGGTGTGTGGGGGTAGCAAGTCTTGTTGTGAGAAAACTACACCCTCCCCTCTCTTCCTGTCTCCAGGAGCAAGGAAGAAATGCTCTCCTGGATTCTAAGGATCAACCTGGTGGCTGCCATCTTTTCAGCCCCTGCCTTCCCAGCTGCTGTCAGCTCGATGAAGAAGTTCTGTCGGCCCCTGCTCCCCTCCTGCGCCACTCGTCTGTGCCAGGTACAGGTTCCTGGGTTTATGGTGCTGCCAGCTTGGCTGCTGCCCCCAGCCCAGAGTACTCACTTGACAGCATCAGCCCAGTTCTTTCTCTAGGGCCTCTGGCCCTGGACTGAGGGACACCAGGAAAGGGTAGAGATTCTCCCCCATACCATGTACCCCAGCCCCACTTACAGGTGGGGAGACTAAGGCCAAGTGTCACACAGAGGCCAGATATTCTTGGGGACATATCCCTGTGGTGTGACTGTGGGTCTGGTGCTTGTTTGCATCTGGGCACAAGTGTGAGAGGTTGTGTGTGTCATAGGGTGCTAGGCACAGGTGAGACATGGGAGCCCTTGGCCCAGTGCTCTCTTTATTTTACTTTACAAAAGAGTAACACATGAACTGTAAAAATGAATGGGGCTTGTGATATTTCCATGCATACATCCATCATGGACTGATCATGTCCATCCACTGTCCCACCCTCACCCACTCTGACACTGTCCTCCCAGCTCCCTTCCCATTCCCTAGGCAACTTTCTTTCAGTTTGTACAAATTATTGATGACACAAAATGCTTGTCTTTTTGTGTCTAGCTTATTTCGCTTAATATGACAGGATTTATTCTTCTTTATGGATGAGTTTTTGTCCTTTATGTGTATTTAACACTGTATTTTCTTTAACCATCACCTGTTTTTTTTTCCCCCCCGGAACTGGGGATTGAACTTAGGCCTTTGTGCTTGCCAAGGCATGTGCTACCGAGCTACCTCCCCAACCCCTCCATTACCTGTTGATGGGCACCTAGGCTGATTCCATGTCTTGGCTTTTGCGAATGGTGCTGCAGTAAATATGGGGTGCAGGTATCTCTTTCATATGCTGACTTCATTTGCTTAAGGCCAATACCCAGGAGTGGGATGGCTAGTAGTCCTGGTTCTTGTTTTTTTTTTTTTTTTTTTT